TAAATAGAAGGCGTCAGAAAGTTTCGCCGCCGATCTTCAGCTGCCCGGACTCCGCTTCTCCTCTTCCCCGTGTCTGCCAACTTCCCCCGAGCCCGCCCCGCGCCGTTTGGCGGATCCCTGGCGGGCCCTTGGGGCAACTGAGGATCGCCCCTCACTCCAAGGAGCGCAGGCTCCCAGGCAGCACCAGGCGGAGAGGAGGAAAGGCGCCCCAGGGGTGGTAACCTCTTTCCTCTAGAGCGCGTTTGGTAGGCTTTGTTTCCAGCCAAGCTACCCAACCCTGAGACCCGACTGTTCAGGTCTCAGGGCTAGTCCAGTGATCCACGGGGAACTTAGGCTTAAGTTTATTGATTTTGAATTGATTGAAAGTTTATTCACTTTGATCTATTTTTCAGCAAAACAGGTGAAAAGCAGCAACAGTAAAATGAGCTGTGTGCAGGGTAGTATGTGTTTTTCATCTTTCAAAGTTTCTCACCTTTGAAAGATGAGAAAACTGTCAGTGGAGTCCATACCATAATAAATTCGGGGTGAGAGGAACTTTATTTGGAAATGTCATAATATTATAAAGGAAGAATGCCCTAAATACTTAACCATCCTTGAGTGCTGCACAGAATTACTATAGAGTACTATTAACTACTGTTTATAACAGTGATGGCGAACCTTTTGAGCTCGGGGTGTCAGCATTTTGAAAAACCCTAATTTAACTCTGGTGCCGTGTCACGTATAGAAATTTTTTTATATTTGCAACCATAGTAAAACAAAGACTTATATTTTTGATATTTATTTTATATATTTAAATGCCATTTAACAAAGAAAAGTCAACCAAAAAAATGAGTTCGCGTGTCACCTCTGACACACATGTCATAGGTTCGCCATCACTGGTTTATAATGATTACTCAAGTCACTATAATATTAATTATGCTCAACACATTCTGATAAAGAAGAGTTGCACAGTGTATATTTTAGGAAAATTTTCAAGAAAGGGAATATATAAAACATAATTGCTTTAAAAGTGTTAAATATCAATAATCTAAAAAATCCATCTGTGTAGAAAGCTCCATTCCTAGTAATACCAGAGAAATAGGGTGTTGATGTAGTTAGTTGGCTTAACAATGAAAGAACCCGATTCCAAGACCCTCTGTATAATCTAAATCAGTGGTTCTCAACCTTCCTAATCACGACCCTTTAATACAGTTCATGTTGTGGTGACCCCCAACCATAAAGTTATTTTCGTTGCTACTTCATAACTGTAATTTTGCTACTGTTATGAATCATAATGTAAATATCTGATATGCAGGATGTATTTAGGCAACCCTGTGAAAGGGTAGTTCGACCCCCAAAGGGGTCTCAACCCACAGGTTGAGAACCTCTGATCTAAATAATCGAGCACAATAATTGGATTCAGTTCAGTTCCAGATGATAGCTACGGCCTCAATCTCATCTCCAAAGACTCACAAACACACACAAAAACACATCAACAATTTCCATATATAAACTTTATTGCATTTGACATAATACAAAACTTTAAACATAAAGAAGAAAATGAAAATATGCACCTTTTACAAGTCAAAGAAAAGCAAGTCTTAGCATTTGGATTGGTTTGCAAAAAACAAAACAAAAAAGAAAACCCCCAAATATATTAGAGGTACAAACTGTGCTACAGCAGGTCTAAAAGAAGTTGTACAGAGTCCTTTTGAAAAAGTTAAAACTATTTCCAAGGTTACTTTTCATATTTAAATGTACAGGCATTAACCACTTTACAAATATTTACACAACCCCAAACAACCTTAATAAACACTGTAGCTTTTTCAGCAGCCACCATACTTCTTCATGTGAAAAAGAAACACTAAAAAAGTATCTTTACAAACACTGAGCTTTTATTTATAATGATTTTATGTCTTACCCTAAAACATTGTATTAGGGACTTACTGCCTAAAAATTCCAGTTGATTACAATCCTATAATTGCACACAGAAAAAAATCTGATATGATCAATAGGTAATAATCTCAACTTTGACCTTTCAGTTTCTGTTGTTTCATGTCACATGGAAAATAAAAGCACAAAATGGGAAGTAAAGCTAAAATGCATATTGCACTAAGCTACTATAAAGCATAAGGGACTTGATCTTTTCAAAATGTCTACAACGAATTTATTTTTTAAAAACAATTCACTAACTGCTGTTCAATACAGAGTTAGTGCTCATATTACTACAGTGCAAAATGTACTGTTGTCACAAAAAATTGAAAGCAATCTCGAGTACATCAAAAGCATCTGAGGTACTAATGAAATGCTAATACAGACACATACAGCCTCTATCCTGGAATCAAGCGAAGACTTAAGGCAACTGTCCAGTATTTCATGCCTCTGCAGTGATTTCATTGAAATAAAAGATTTCATTTTGCTTCAAGTAACTGAATAATTGACTTGACTCTTCACTTTACTAGACCAGACAGGCAATAAACTATCTACTGAAGATTATACTTTCCAAAATTCCACAAATCTTTTCAGTATTAGCATGTGGTACAATTAACTGAAGTTATATCAAAAACCTTTTATTTGTTCAGATAGTCTCCCCAAAAATATTTTATCTGATCACCTGAAAATTCATGCCATAATATCACTAATCATCAATGTAAACATTTTCAAAAATACATCTCTAAATCAAAGGGTTTTATTAGGAAATGTTATAATAAAATATGCAATCTTTATATAAGTATGTCCTCTTAAAAATAAAACATGAAAACAAGAACAATGAAAAGAAACTATGATGGAGGTAAACAAAATGCATTATGGTATTACTATTGTTCTTTATTTATCAGAAGAATTTATTAAGTAATAGAGGCCAGTCATCTTTTCAGGACAGCAGCTCTTAAAGGTAGTATACTGTTCAAATCTTTTTTGTTTCTCAATCTGTGCCATGACTGTGAGAAGAAGAAAAAAATCATTCTTAAAACCTAAAGTATGTGCAGAACAATACGGAACAGAAAGTTACTAGAATGTTAATAGTAGTTCTCTCGAAGTAGTAAAATTTGGGGTGTTTTTTTTTTCTTCTTTGTGTTTTTATCTCCCAAGTTTTTAACACAATACAAGAATTGTTTCTGTCATCAGAAAAGAAAATGTTATCTATAAACTCAATACCTGTGTGGCTTCGATTAATCGTATAGGTGGTAGAAAAAGACACAATTAACAATATTCACATTTATTCACAGATTTAAATAATTTCATCTAAAGCAGCAAGGTACAAGGTAATTAAAACAAAATCTTTGAGTTTGAAAGAATAAGGAAAGACTACTTAAATTATCTGGTTGACTATTTGGCATCTAGCAAGCTTTTTCAATTCAAAATAGTATTTATGAAGGTGATAGTAAATCTATTAAAAAAAACTTTCTTTATGATGCTAGAAAAGACAAATAAGTTGAATTGGTAAGAAGAAAAAAAAAGGAACTGAAGCACCCTAGCTGGTTTGGGTCAGTGGATAGAGTGTCGGCCTGCGGACCAAAGAGTCCCGGGTTCGATCCCGGTCAAGGGCACATACCTTGGTTGCAATCTCCTTGGGCCCTGGCCCTGTTCAGAGGCAACCAATCGATGTGCTTCTCTCCCATCGATGTTTCTCTCTGTCTTTCCCCCTCTCTCCCACCCTCCCTTAAAATCAATGAAAAAATATCCTCGAGTGAGGATTAACAAAACAAAAAAAAAGGGAACTGAAGAAAGCTCATCCATCAATAAGAATAGCTATGCAAGCAATACTGTTTTTGAGTATTCAATCTAACCTGACAAAAATATTCCCTCTGGAATATGTTTTGTCCTGCAGAATTCCATTCATTTAAATTTTCTATTCTGGTTGATAATTGAGAGGGCCTAATTTGAAGAATAGTTTGTAATATGATACACTTGCATTTTTAATTATCATCAAAATAAAGTCCACTTGTATGTCTTGATAATAAAAAGGTATGTCTCCAAAATGATCGTCACAGTCGCTGATCTTTTTCTTCTATGAAGCATTTCTCCTGTATGTCTCATAGTACATATTTTTATCAGTGTGTTACTACATTGTACTGCGAAATTCCTTGAGGACTAAAACCCCACCTAGCAAAATTATGGATGAATAAATTCATAATGTGGACTAAAGAGCTAAGGAATAAACTACAGTGTGTGTGTGTGTGTGTGTGTGTGTGTGTGTGTGTGTATGTACATATATATGACCGAAGTTTGTGTGTGTGTGTATATATATACACACACACACAAACTTCGGTCATATATATGTACATACACACACACACACAAACATATGTTTTTAACTTCTCAAAATATAAACAAAGATAAAATGAGACTCAAGTTCCTGTTAGGACATGCAAAAGAAAAATCATGGGGGGGGGGGATGGGAGATATCTATAATACTTTCAACAATAACAGTAAATGAATAAATAAATAAATGAATAAATAAATAAATAAGCTTTCTTTTAAGGTATAATAAGTTCCCCAATATTTTAGGAGGCAAAGAAGGCCATTAGGCTTTAGTTTCATTTTGAGAGTTTAATAAGTCACTATGGAAATAGTTATTTCCACAAAAGTGAAAGCCATGTGAATGGAAACAGAAGGGAAAGTATATCTAAATTCAAGTAATAAATTCACTATCGTGCCACATTAATGGCTTCACAACACAGAAACCAGGGCTATTCTGTCCAATTACTAGTACATATGTATTTCATTTTCAAAGCACACTAGTCTACTAATGCGTTTAAGAGTTAATCTAATATACTGTTTACCTTTAAAAATTGATCCTTTATCATGTCAAACTTCTGCTTTTCATGTACAGCTCTGGCAGTATTTGTTCCATCAAAAGGTTCTGCAAAGGTAAATGCACATGTAAACAAAAAATTATTAAAATGAAAGCTTCAGTTTTTTTATTTGATTGAACTATATGAAACTGTCAATACTTGACAGTTTTTGACCTAGAAAATAGCAATTACATATAATTCAACCTAGTATCTTATTAGATTTATCATATTAAAAACAGTTTCATATAGCTATGCACTGTCTAATAAGGTAGAATGAATTCAAGTGAGGATAACTAAAAATGAAGTCATTAGCATAAGTATGTTAAATCTAAATCATGAAAGTGGATAAGATTTCTGAAGAATTACAGTGTCAAAAACCTACCTACCTTTAAGAAAATAAAAATAAGTTAAAGAATTAAAGTTATCAAAAAGAATAAAGCATTGTATCTGAGAGAGGTGGTTAATGTTAAGTATCACAGAAAGATAATTTTAAATTTAATTTGAGTTTAAAAGACCACTGATTTGTCAAGCAACAGAAAGGTCAATCCCTTTGAAAGTCTAAACATCGTGAGGATAGAAGACAGTGCAGACAGTTATGGTGTGAGTGGATGGTTTAGAAAGATACAGTGAGAACAGTGTAACTGGTATAAGAAATTTGGCAGTGAAAAAGAGAGAAAAGATACCAAGTAGAGAAGACAGGAAGAAAATGAAGAGTTTTAGAGAACAGAACATTATCTTCCACATCATCCACAAGAGGGAAGAGTCCATATATACAAACAACAAATCCTATATAATAAAAGCCCAGCGACCATAACAGCAGAACGACCAGAATGACCATTTGACCAGTCACTATGAGGTGCACTGACCACCATTTGGTTTTTTCAGCACCGGCCGGCAGGCTCTGATTGCAGCAGCGCCAGGACTCTTGGTCCCCCCCCCCCTCGCCCCCCGCCCTTAGACTCCGATTTCCCGAAGGCAAACTGGGAACCTGGGTGGGTGGTGGCGGGGGAGGGGGGGTGAGGCCAGCTGCCGGCAGCCGGAGAAGATGGCCCTGATCGCAGGCTAAACCTAGGGACCGTACCCATGCATGATTTTGTGTGCTGGGCCTCTAGTGTCTTACAATATTGAGAAGACAAAGAAACTGAAGATAATAGTGAGAAAAGGAGGCTAACAGATGGGAGAGCTGAAATAATGCCAGCAGCAGGTAAAAGTTACTCGAGTTTAAGAATTTTGGCAATAAAAAAGAGGGGGGGAAGTACTTAGAAGAGGCAGTAGATGAAGCCCAAGAGTATTGATAAGAACTATGTGTGCCTTTTAAAGCTGAGACCTGGAAAAAGGGTGAAATCCAATGGAGAGGTTAACTTTACATTTGTAATACAATCTAAGCAGGCAGGCCCATCATTTTAAAAACTCCTTTTGTTTCTTTATTTTTTGTTTTATTGCTTAGAAAGGCTATTTTAAAAAGGAGTTTACTGTCACAGTACTGTTTTTTTTCAAAGAATAATGCCATATGCCAAACTACCAGGTCACATCATACATAGCACTTTACAACAGTCAGTGTTTCTTTGAATCAGTGATAGTCAACTATATGTAAATTAATTTTAGATAACAGAATATCTCAGCATTTAACTTTTAAAGTAAAATCAATTTCTATTCATAAAAATCTAGCTTGCATTAATAATCAGTATAAAAGAACTGATTTTACTTCAATATAAGAATAACGTTTCCATCAATTACAAGCAGGAGGGATGCATAAAGACTGCTGAAATCTTACCAACTAGAAACACTAAACACCTAAATTCGTGTTTATTATTTTCTACAAATAAAAGTTTTTAAATTATTTTTAAATATTAAATTAAAATCTTATAACTAAAAGACTTGTAAACCACTTCAGAATATAAATTTATTATTTTATAATAATATAAGCTGAACTTATTTAAGTAATTCTCTCAGTACCATGATGATAACTGAATGACAGAGAGTAGTGGAAAAGCTACCTTCTACACAGATGTATTTATTTCTCCATTCAATACCATCAGGCCTGGGAATGGCTTTGGCTTCACGAACTGAAATCATTTGACTGTTCCAGCTATAAGAAAACATTAATCATGTTAACTATTTTAATTTCCCATTTATTATTTTTATTATATTAGTAGGAAGGCCTCCTCTGATTTCCCAAACAATACTGAAACTTGCCTCAACCCTCAGCAACACAATCCCCATTTCCATTTCTCTTGTTTCTCCATAGCACTGTTAGTCTAACGATTTGCTTAGTTATTGTTGTTTATAGTGTGTCTCCAAGATATTAAATTATTTCTGTATTTTTTCATGTTCAACTAGTTGTTTAGCACAAATTAGGTACTTAATACTTATTTATTGAATAAATTAATCAATATAAAAAATAAGGAACCCTGGCCCCATGGCTCAGTTGGTTGAAGTATTGCCCTATATACCAAAAGACGGTGAATTCGATTCCCAGTCAGAGCACATACCTAGGTTGTGGGTTCGATCCCAAGTTGGGGTGCATATAGGAGGCAACTGATAAATGTTTCTCACATCAATGTCTGTCTGTCTGTCTCTCTCTCTCTCTCCCTCCACCCCAGTCCTCACTCCCTAAAATTAATATCAATAAAAATATATATTTAAAAAAAATTAAAAATAAATAAAAGAAAAATGTGTAAGCAAAAAATATAAAAATTATATTCATTATTAATACCTCACTAAGAATTCTTAATTTAAGAAAAATTAATCTTCTTGTGTTATTTTCTGATTTAGTCAGTAATTTATGTTCAGGTCCATATCTATTTGTATGATTTGGAAAAAAATTCTGAAACTTTCCAAAAGAAGCAAGTAGTTGCTGGTTCAGAAAACAAAATTAATACTCTATGAAAACATTAATACACTGTGAAAACATGTATTACTACATATGGATGTAGCAGCTAATAATGAAGTTTTACTCAAGTAAAATAATTTTATCTGCATATCTGAAGGTAAATTGTCCAGTCTTTAGTAATGTATTAGCATTACATTGTTGTTTCTTTTGATTTCTTTACAATTATAATAGTTTGTATAAGTACTATTTTCTTTTTTTCAAGAATTATTTTAACACTTATGACTACTAAGCCTGTATACAAGAGAAAATGAGTTTGGGGAGTAGCTGGTATCTTTTTTACAGTGCTATCTAGCTTTCTCCATCATTTCAGTAAGAAGAGAAAAGACCATAGTTTGGGACCTCCCAAGTCCAACACTTTCTATATTTACTAGATAGAGAAACCATCTATACTAATAAAATGGTAATATGCTAATTACACCAGACGTCCTTCCGGACAAAGTCACAGTGGCGGGGGCTGAGGCAGAGGCAATCAGGTCGGCAGGGGAGGGCAGTTAGGGGGTGATCAGGCTGCAGGGGAGGGCAGTTAGGGAAGATCAGGCCAGCAGGGGAGCAGTTAGGGGGACAATCAGGCTGGCAGGCAGAGGCAGTTAGGGGCGATCAGGATGGCAGGCAGAGGTAGTTAGGGGCGATCAGGCTGGCAGGGGAGCAGTTAGAGGCATTAGGCCAGCAGGCAGAGGTGGTTAGGGGTGATCAGGCAGGCGAGCGGTTAGGAGCCAGTGGTCCCGGATTGCAAGTGGGATGTCTGACTGCCTGCAGGATCAGGCCTAAACTGGCAGAGGGACATCCCCTGAGGGGTCCCGGATTGGAGAGGATGCAGGCCGAGCTGAGGGGGAACCCCCCAACCCCTGTGCACGAATTTCATTCACCGGGCCTCTAGTAAGAAAAGAATATAATAGTGGATTCAGTATGGCATTTATTTCTGGAAAACTGATTAATTTCCATGTTAAGTATTGGAGAAAATATTGCATCTCGTGAAGTTTGATCATTGAAAAGAATCCTTAAAGTATAGTTTTCTACATTTTCTTATCAAGAGTACAGTTCAGAAACAAAATTAACACGTTAAGCACCCAGCCTGTTTGTCTTCCAGACGGAAAGTATAGTGTCAGTCACTGGTGATTGACATGGAGCTTAACGTGTTGAAAAACAAACAAAAAGAGTACAGTTTAGAAATACAGGGTGAGGCAATAGAGCCCAGCTGGTATGGCTCATTGGTTGAGCATCGAATCATGAACCAGGAAGTTAACAGTTCAATTCCCAGTCATGTCACATACTTGCCTGGGTTGCAGGCTTGACCCTTGTATGGGGCGTGCAGAAGGCAGCTGATCGATGATTCTTTCTCATCATTAATGTTTCTATCTCTCTCCCTCTCCCTTCCTCTCTCTGAAATTAATAAAAACATTTTTTTAAATACAAAAATAAAGTTCATAGACTCTCCAATATCTGAGTCTATAATATTTAGAACTTTTGTCTTGCTAAACTACAAAATTATTACATCTATATTTTTCTTTTTTTAAAATTCTTTACATTGAAAAGTATTACATATGTCTCCTTCTCCCCCATTGACCTCTCCCAGCATGCTCCTGCCCCCCAGCACAGGCCCTCACCCCCTATTATCTGTGTCCATTGGTTATGCTTATAAGGAAGCATATAAGTCTTTTGGTTGATTTCTTACCCCCAACCTCCCACTATTTTTTTTCAAGATTCCCTGAGTCACATAATTCTTTTTTCCCCATATTTTGTCAGTTCCCTTTGCCCGGGTACAGTTTTAGAAGTCTGGTTTCATTATGAGAATTTTCAGCAGCAAAGTTTAGGAGAAAGTTATGGGTGAAATAGATAAGAACATCTTAGTAATTTTTAAATGGCCATATAAATTTCTGCAACATTTGTACCATATACTCAAGCATCTCTTAAAAGGCACTTAATTCTGTCTTCAAGTATAGAAAATTTTTTAATTGAACATTTCAAAGTTCAGAAGAAATCATTACAAACATTTCTAACTTATCAGAATTTTTAACAGCACCTAGTTCATCACCATGACTACATTCTTGGCTGTGCTCTCTACAGTCGAATTTCTGAAAATATCTGGTATGAAACAATAATGCACTTGAAAAATGCTCTATATGATGAGAGAGTAGAGGAAGATGGCTCGTAAATCGTGTATCATCATGATAACAAATGCATACAAAAGTTCAAAACCTTTTTCAAGCATCAGCATCCTAGCCAGTATCATTTGGCACAGCAAGCTAGTTTCTGTCAATGCTAAACTAACACACAAATGGGACAACTACCATCTTGGTTCAATCCAACGAAGCAGCGATTTTCAAGGTGTTTTTATGTAGGTGCTCTAATCTTAAACCATACACATGGCAGAAATGTAACTTTCTACTATGTGTATCCTTTTCCTCTACAAACTTCTCCCAAGCCTTAATTTATATGACATAACAGACCATGCCAATATGGACTAACAAATTAGAGTGTGTTTTGTAGTCAGGCCCCAGTTTTCTCACTATCTGCTGTATTGATATGAGAAGGTTCACAAATTCCCCCTAAGCTTGACAGGGGGTTATTTTAAGGATTAAATGAGGTAATACATGGGAATCACTCAGCATACTCTAAAACAGCGGTTCTCAACCTGTGGGTCATGACCATCGGAAAACACGTATAGCATATCAGATATTTACATTACGATTCATAACAGTAGCAAAATTACAGTTATGAAGTAGCAACAAAAATAACTTTATGGTTGGGGTCACCACAACATGAGGAACTGTATTAAAGGGTCACAGCATTAGGAAGGTTGAGAACCACTGCTCTAAAAGGACACGAAATAAAGAAACATTCACTAAATATTAGCTATTTTGTTATTCCAATATCTGAACTCTACAGTAATCTTTACAGTTTATGTCCTATGTTTCATATAGTCTTAAATCTTTCTTCATCTTTATATTAATGAAGGCTCCTTCCTTTTTATCCTTGTTGCCTGGACTTATATGTAGGTCATTTTTAACCGGGACTATCATAATTTCATTCTTACTGAACTCCTTTCTTCCAGCACTTTTCCTACTCCTTTTCTTAACCTTATTCAGCAATTTTAGTAATCTTAAGGATCTTTGAATCAGGTCTACAATCTTACTTTATGCTTCAAATTATTTATTTATTTATAAATATTTGTCAAGTACCCACTATCTGGCACTGAACTAGGTACTAGAGAAATAACTTTAACTAAACAGGTTCAAACAGTCTGGTATAAGCTTTACTTTGAGAAATTTAAAAAACATTTCATCTTTCACGCCCTATGTTTCAAATCATCACATAGAAGTCAATTTTCTTTAAAGCTAATACATCATAGTACATAAGACAATATCAACATGTGGTAAAATATCATAGTTAAGAGTGTGAATTTTGCAATCAAAACTATTTGAAATGCTCCCCTTACAAGCTGTGTGATCTTACTGCAAGTTTCTTAACCTCTTTATATGCCTCACTGGTAAAATGGGCATAATATAATACCATCTTATATGGTGATAATGTAAACTGAATGAGATAATACATATAACCTGTTTAGAATGTTTACCCCACCTAGTAATAGCAATTTATTACTCTTACTATTATTATCCCCTCTCCAAACCTCTTTAGTGTGGGATTCTGTGGTCACTGTATTTCTCTAATTTTGTATAACTCCTAAGTCCTTTCTCCTTCTCCTTCAAGCTTTCTAAATTGATCAGAAGAGCTGCAAACATCCCCTAATCCTATTCTATGAACTAAGAACTCCCATAAGAACTTTCAGTTATGTCCAGTCTAGTTATATACTTTAATCTTTCATATTTATACATTACTGTCAACAAAAAACATGGAAAAGGATTATTCCTTGATTTGTATATCATATACTACAACTATTAAATTCAGATATCAGGTATTAAGTAAATACTCTTCCAATTTGTCACAGCTGTATTTTTTACTACAAATTTTCAGTATTTAAAAAACAGATGTTCCAAATGATATAGTACCTACATATGACCAACATAAACATTTATCCAGGCCCTACTATGAAAAGAGGCAGCTAAACATAAAATGGGATCACTAGTGAAAGCAACTAAAACTAGGCTTAGTGAGCTATAATTTTTTTAGCTAGGAATATGAAATCTACTTAGTATCTAATAATTAATCTTTAGATAATAACTTTTATAAACTATACATTTCTGGACAAGTTTACAGCATTGAAATTGACAAGATAACCTTTTGACCAAATTTGTAGCATTCACTTATATAAAAATGAATAAATGCAATTTGAGGTTTCACTTACTCAAATTCCGTAGCATAATACTTAAGAAAGCCCAGTAAGAGGTCCCCAAGATTTGATTCATTCTTTGAGAGGTAAGGAGGAACATTACATGGAACTTGATGTACAAGGTGCAGTTGTATAGCAGGACTAAAAGATTCCTGTCAGGAAAAAAAAGGGGACGAAATGTAAAGCCATTTAAAACGTACACTAAAAACTTTATAAAACCTGATCTAAATAAAGTGCTCTGAAAAAGAGAGAAGAAATTTTTTTTTATGTTGGTATTTTGGAAATTTGAAGGTTTTCTTACACGTAGGTTTACCAGGGTTTGGAGTAGGCCCGAAAGTACCTGAAAATCTAAGATATTCTAATCCTTGGCTGAGATATAACAAACAATGGATCTGTATGCTAGCAAAGATTTTCTAACTCATAAATAAAATGTTACTGTAATACATTTAACATATTACATGTTACCGAAACTCCATGTAATAACACAGAGATTCCTTTACAAATGTATCTCCTTTTTAATTATTTCTATAAGAAGTAGTTGCACTTTATAGAGGTTATATCAAGCACCAGGTAAAAGAGCTCTTTCTAACTGCCAGTTAAAATTTCTCTCAAAGGCCATAAAAATAACTTTAATAAATAAATAGTACCTATACCAATTAAAAAATTTTTATTTTGTATCTTAGAGGGAAAAGAAGAGAGACATCCAACATGAACTGAACTTGAAAAGACAAAGAGGGCAGGGAACAGAAGAAAGGAAAATACCAGTAAGCAATATTCAGCAAACTTTTACCATAATATTCATAAACATTCATTTTCATTTGCTTGTAATCCAGGACTAAACAGCACACCTCTTAAAAAGAATACTAATGGGTACTTATTCTTTTTGCCTATGGTATGCCATTCATTTTCATATTTAATCTTTTCTCTAATAGCAGCAAGTTCTGGCTCTAAAACACACTAAATGAACTATACAGCTTCAAGTAGTATATATCTGTATGCCTGAAAATAAAAGAATTTAGTAAATAATCTTGTTTTTCACTGCTAAAAAATAAATTCCAATTTTGCAACTGGCTGCTTGCCCTAATCCAGGATCTGAAAAAGTAGGGAAAGGACAGCTGGTTGTTAAAACTATTTACAAATAAAGAAGAAAATGTTTTCTAAGGTAGTTTGCAGTGCCTTCAAGAAGGGTTTTCTATACTACCCGTTGCCATCAAAATAGAAATACTTTTTTTTTCTTCAAAAAAGCTATTGGCTAAGGCAGCAGAATGACAACTACACTTAACATTCCCAACTCTAACAAATCAACCTTGGGTTTATTGATATCGATTAAATTAGTAATGTCTAAATAACTCAAGATAACTGCATTGTAATACAGAGAATTGGGGTATTGCATCTATTTAATGGTAGTCATCAAAAATCATCACTAAAAAATTAAGGAGCAAGAAAATTTTAAGCTTCCCTCCTCTACCCCATTATCTATAACTAAAGGCCTAATGCACGAAATTTACACAAGACCAGGCCTTCCTTCCCCCAGCTGCCAACACCGGCTTCACTCTGCCACCTGGGATCCAGGCTTCCCTCTGGCCGCCAGCATGCACCCAGGACCCGCGCTTCCCTCACAGCCCTGGCTTTTGTCCAAAAGGTCGTCCAGCGGGACATCCAGTTTAATTAGCATATTACCCTTTATTATTATAGATTCTATCAATAATTTTTAATCACCAGAAAATGATTCTCTCAGAAGAAAACTCTATTCCAAAACCACAATTCATAATGTTGGGACTCCTAAATTGACACTTCCCTTTCCACTTCTAACATATTTAGTATTACAAGTAGAGATACTAATAAGAAAAAAGCCTCAATTTACAATAAAGAGTAAAAGCAGAAGGAAGAGCAGGTATACTGCCTCTACCACCTTTTGTCTCTTATTGTTATGTGTAAAAAATTGGACTTAGGACATTACTTAAAATTATAAAATTTAAATATTACTTTCTGGGAAATTGAAGACAAAGGTATAACAAGTTCATGTAGCAAGGAAAATAAAAGTGGGTCACTGTTTAATATCTTCAGCTCTGAAAACTACTTACTAATTTTAATTTCTAGCACCTAGCACAGTAAGCATATAATTTATGAACTGATGCTAAAATAGAAATTATTTTCTTACCTGAAATTTAACAGTTTGAACTTCCTTTAAATTTTTTATTTTGTTCAGTAATTTAAAGAAAAGTATCAGCAATTGTGAGATTAAAACTGAAATAGTGAGACCTAGTCTATAAAAATGATCAAATGACCTTGGACCAATTTGGCCAGTCTCCTCTTAGCTCCACTGTTCTTTTTCACAGTCATATACAAAAGGGCCATATACATACTGAGGGAGATAGATAGATTAGATAGATAGATAGATAGATAGATAGATAGATAGATAGATAGATAGATAGAAAATAAATAAATATCAAAATCCAAAAGAAGCTACAAGTACTAGTCAATAGGAATTCCATTTAACCTTAAGAAGTCCCCATTTTTGGTTCACATTACAGAATAATTCTCTGCTTTAAGAAAAATTTCATCTAAGATTTTTTTTCAAAATGGATCTCCCCCACTGCAGTTATGCTATTTTGGACATGATGAGGGTGGGTAGAATTTACACTAACCTATTAGAAAGCACATAAAGAGCCAAAAGGGAAAAAAAGGTATCCTTAAAATTACAACTTAAATTCATGGAAAAGCAACTTAACTGATACAATATATAGTAATATCTATTTTTTATTTTACTTACTGAGTTTTAGAGAGATAGGGGGAGAGAGAGAGAAACATCGATTTGTTCCACTCATTCATGTATTCACTGGTTGATTCTTGTATGTGCCCTGACCAAGGACTGAACCTGCAACTTGGCATATCGGGATGACGCTCTAATCAACTGAGCTACCCAGACAGGGTTATAACATTTACTAGCGGCCCAGTACACAAAATTCATGCAGTTGGGGGGGGGGGGGAGTGTGTCCCCCTCAGCCCGGCCTACACCCTCTCGCAGTTTGGGAGCCCTCAGGGGGGATGTCCAACTGATATGGCAGGAGCTTCTCCTGCCTCTGCTACTGCACTCGCCAGGCATTGGCCCAGCTCAGGGTTTCTGGCTGAGCAGCACTCCCCCTGTGGGAGCACACTGACCACCAGGGAACAGCTCCTGCATTGAGTGTCTTCCCCCTGGTGGTCAGTGCACATCATAGCAAACAGTCATTCGGCTATTCAGTCGATTTGCATATTAGCCTTTTATTATATATGATGATGATTTTTGGATTACTACTGTTTCATTTTTTAATGTAGAGAAGACTTTTTGTTTGTTTTTTATATGGGGAGTTTTATTTTGTTCTTTTTTTCACTGGAAAGACATTTGTATTACTTTTTTTAAAAATATATTTTTATTCATTTCAGAGAGGAAGAGAGAGGGAGAGAGAGATAGAAACATCAATGATGAGACTCACTGATCAGCAGCCTCCTGCACGCCCCCTAGTGGGGATCGAGCCCACAACCTGGGCACGTGCCCTTGACGGGAATCGAATTTGGGACCCTTCAGTCCGCAGGCCGACACTCCATCCACTGAGCCAAACCAGCTAGGGCTATATTACATTTTAAGGTTATATCTTATTTTGGGCTTCTCATAACCAAATGTGTAATGAATCAATTCTAAATGATATTTAAATGCTGATACTTTTAACAATACGTATTTTCCATTTCTCTCCAATCAATGCCAAGGTAAGGAAAACTTTGAAAGGCAATCGCTTGAAAAACATCTGAAAAGTTTCACTGTTTTGTCAATACAAAACATCTTCTGCCATATTCTATTATGGGAAGCTGTGCCCATAATTTCTTACTTCATCTTCAAAGTTTGAAATCTGGACAATTAAAGACCTTCTGGAATAAATTAGATTGGCTAAACTTTTTCTTGGTAACTTTTCCTTTAAAAAATGTGTAAATGTAAAGAGTAAGTAGAGATATAGAGTAAGTAGAGTTTTGCCTGAATCAAGAACTAAATAATATATTGAAGTTCTACCACGCTTTCTTTATTGTATACAGGTCACCACCAATATGGTGATGTATGTTGGAAAACTGATCACTAAATTTCCATTACATTATATCACATTTTAGTGAGATTTTTAAAGTTTTTTTTAATTTTATTTTTTATTACAAAGGGTATTACATATGTGTCCATTTTTTCCCCCCGCCCTAGACAGTTTGACAATCTGTTTGAGGCAGCTCTGCCTCTGTATCTATTATTGTTCAAAAGTTTATAATGGTCTCTATTATCCATGAATGAGTGAGATCATGTGGTATTTTTCCTTCATTGACTGGCTTATTTCACTTAAATATAAATAAGTATTTAACATAAAGTATGAATACTATAATAAGGTGATTAAGGCATAAACTTTGGAGTCAGACTACCTAGGTTTGAAACATTGTTCTTCTATTAATTAAATGAAGTTACCCAGCTTTGCAAAGATTCTTCATCTATAATATAAAGAAAATAGTACTCATAGGGTTGTTATAACGATTAAATAACATAATATATGTAAAGCTTAGCAGCAATAGTATTACCTAAATATTCATAACTTAATATATGCCAGGCATCATCACTATTTTAACTGTACATTTATATAATAATGCAGTATGGTTAGGTCCTAAAACTTATAATGTATTATTTCAAAATTAACTTCCTTATGCTTTTAAAAATTTAAGTAATGTCAACTTTAAAATAATAGTTTTAGTATCATTTTATTTTTTAATATATTTCAGAGAGGAAGGGAGAAAGAGAGAGAAACATCAATGATGAGAAAGAGTCATCTGTGTCCCGACTGGGAATTGAACCATGACCCGCTGGTTCATAGATCAATGCTTAACAACTGAACCACGTCAGCCACGGTTCATTGTCATTTAAAAAAATAAATCTTCACCAAAGTATTTTGTCTTTTCAAAGGTATTCAGTGAAAGCTTGTTTCATTTTTCATGTTTAAAAGCATACCCTAGTACAATTGGGAACTCATTATAATAGTTCTTCATATAGCAGAATTTAGTTTTGTTTTGGTTTTTTTTGTTGTTTTTTTTTAAATATATATTTTATTGATTTTTTTTACAGAGAGGAAGGGAGAGGGATAGAGAGTTAGAAACATCGATCAGCTGCCTCCTGTACGCCCCCTACTGGGGATGTGTCCGCAACCAAGGTACATGCCCTTGACTGGAATCGAACCTGGGACCCTTCAGTCCGCAGGCTGCCGCTCTATCCACTGAGCCAAACTGGTTAGGACAGAATTTAGTTTTTAAAAGGAGGAAAATAAGATATACAAATGCCAAAAGGTTGTTGTTATAAATGTGTCCTCTAGAAGATGACCCACCACAAACTAGGAAGTCCCACTACAGCAAAGCTCTCTTGCAGTAAACCTTTCATTACCCAGCACCTTGCATGTATGTATTGCAATTATTGCAATAACTGAGGTTCAAAAACAAGATCAGTTCTTTTCAATTATCAAGGATTAAATTATATTTAATTTAGGTTCTATGTCAAGTGTATCTATTATATTTTGTGATACATACAAAATAAGTAAGTTTTTTGAATGCTGACCACTAAAGCTAGATACTATGTTTTTCTTTATAATATGACCACTTAGTAAGTTTAAAAAACTAACAGGTAAAAATTATGTGGTTTCAGTAGGTTGGTCAAACATTCTAAACAAGTAGCTTAAATAATATTTTCAAATAAAACCAGGAACAAGGCTGACTATGGAAGAAAACAAAAATAGTAGGACTATAAAACAAGGCAACAGAGAATTCTGGAAAGAACACAAAAAATGGAAGAAACAAAAGTATTCACATACAATGTATTCACATACATTGCAAATATGTACATTATCAAGGTTTCTCTAAACTCAAACAGAGAACATACTAAACTTTTTCTAGTAGGTACAGTTCATTTCTTGAGTATTTCCAAATTGCTTCAGCAGGGTTGTTATTATGCACACAAGAATAGAGTACTATTGTTACCTCTTTTGCTTTATTACTTAATAAAATCAAATGAAAGATACAATGATTATCCGATTGTTCAATTTCTTAATTTCTCCCCTCTGCTTTCAAAATATACATACATTGGATGAAAAACTTCTGAGTTAACTAACTAAAGAAATGCTGTAAAACTGTATTTTAAGAAAACCAGAATGAGTCCAAATGGGACTAATTTAACTCCCATTAGGGATAATCATGAGCTTCATGCACAAAATTCCACCATTAAAAAAATGACCAGATTGTCTGTCAATAACAAAATAAATTATCAGTCTTCTGAAAAAGTATATGAAACATTTTTAATGTTCTAATGGCCAATGCTTCAGTCTATAGAGAAAATGGTATCAATACTTAGAAGGTTATGTAACTATTACTACTTTTATATTTACATTAACACTACATAAATAGTCCCACATATACTGGTCACATTATGTATTATAATAATTTATAAGAAACACTTACTGGGTATATTTTTTGGATGGATGGAAGGATGGGTTCAGGTAGGGCTATAAAAAAAGAAAGTTTAGAGCTTCCATGATTCATGTAATTCATTTTACAAAACAGTAATTTGTCAGCTAAGGCCCTCAGATATGAAACTATAAGGGTTTCTGCTAAAAGTCAACAGTTTCCATATATTTTGTGAAGTTAATTCTGATCCCTAAAAATTTTAATTCACAATATATCTAAGTTGGCAATTTAAGGTTAATAAACTGTGCATATTTTAATGTAAACCAATGTTCCTTCTGTGGTTTTAGATTAAGCCATCAATAAATAGACACACATCATTTGATCCAACATCAGACACACACACAAAATAAGCAAGACAAGAATTGGTCTACAGATATTAAATGGACATTGTTAAGATGAATATAGCTATCAAAAAAATTTAAGTATAGTCCAATGATACAGTCCAACAATGGTTCTATCACAATTATGCCTTTATTATTTAATTTCTTCTAACAAACAATAATACTACAATTAAGATAGTTTCTGGAAACTGATCTACTGAAGAAAAGAAACTGGAAAAAAAATCTTCAACCGCATTACTTAATTTTTAAAAGAAAGCCTCAGCAATTTTAGAAATCTAAATCAGGAGATTTGAACCAACATTCTATAAATAAAATTTCATACAAAGGAATCATTATCTTCATATGCTACTATATTTTTAATTGCCATTCTTCACCCTTCAATAGTTTTACCCAAATCCAACTTCACTAAATTCATTAACAGTCATTTCACATTATACAGTAAATGACATTAAAGGCAAGGTTCCCAATATTCACAACATAATAAATAACTTATAATGGTTTATGTCACAATACAAATATATTTATAGACTTCTTTAAGATTAAAGACCAATACAGTATCATATGATAAACTATGATAATTTAAGAATTAGAAATACATTGCATATAATTAAATAAACTTAGTAATAATCTTTAATTCATTTTCAACTGGCTATTTAGCAAAAACATTTTTAAATGACTTCTGGAATACATTAATATATATATAATCAACCATTATGGTCAACTTAGGTCTCCAACTATGCTTATAAATTTATAAATTTCTACCACATAGTATTTAAATTTCCCTCCTGTATCATGCTTCATTCCCAAGTTGAAAATTGGAATAGAATACTCTGGAATGTTCAGTGTATGACTGGAATATCAGAAAAAACTTGCTCATTACTTACCAAAATCACTTAGAAAACAAGGTTACATCTTTCCCCAGAGGCATTCAAATGCACAAAATAGAAGACCCTACAAATAAACTCAAGCCCTAGTCACTTTAATTCTAAAAGTCTCTATATTTGTACAACATTTTCATGGCTTTCTAATAATTGTTATAATATAGAAGTTAAATTGGAAAATTTTATTAGAAATTAGTTTTCTTAATTAAAAATCTAAATTCCTTTCCTACTGAATTCTCATAATAAATTAAAATTGTAATTTAAAGAGGATAAAGAAAAGGTTACAGAGAATATTTTTTAAGTTTATCACATTCTAGAATTATAATTAGAATGCTAGGAGAGTAATACAAATACTAACCACTGGTTTAAGTAAGATCTTTTAATAGACAAAGAGTAATCTGGAAGCTTTTGGGGGCAGAAATATCATTCAGTAAACCTCTGACAAACATAGATTTAAGAACACTAGTTATAACAAGCAATTAGTATACTGTAGCAGTTATTTACTCATATATGTAGTCTATTACTGACTATTGAAATTCATTCTAGGAAGTGTTTTTAATCTTTTCAACCTTTCTACATACAGAGAACCTGTTTCCTTTATCTGTTCCTGGCAGAAAAAATATTAAAGCACTTAAGAAGTTAAAGGTAACTTAACACATTGTTTGCGGGTAGTTTCTATCGCGCGCTAACAGGTGGCGCGGGCCATTTTTGCTAATTTTTTGCGCAAATGGCAACGTTCAGTAAAATTACAATAACTTTAGTTTACGTATTTATACGTTACCCACATTCTACCGCTAGTCTATAAAAAATGTATTAATACGTGTCCCACGCTCTACTACACTGGTAGAACGTATAAATACGTAAAACGTATAAACACGTTTCCCGCATACAATGTGTTAAAAGTCATCTAATCCAACTATTCATGTATCAATGAGTATATTAAGGCCAGAAAGGCAGAATAACTTAGCTAAAATCATAAACATTAGTTCATTATGGTAGACCTTGAACTGCTCAATACACCTTGCAGACTCTTGTATGAAACAAAAGCAATTACTTATTTCAATGCCTCTAATTTCTTCTAGCAAGGAATGGCTTAAATTTGCCAAAGGACAGAGTTGCTGATGTCCTTTAACAAAGACCTAAAACCTAGAAATGGTTGATGATAGTACACTAATTACAAATCAACTCAGTAAATGGGACCACTCTGTTAAGAATAAAATATGTTTGACAATATCTAAACCAAATTTTAACATAATTTCATCACACTAGTAAAATACAATGTTTAAATTTTAAACTTCCTTACAAAATCACCTTGGGCTACCTGTGATTAAAGTATATTTTTCTAAAGAAGACCATCAAATTAAAAAGTATAATGTAACACATTGAGAGTGAAGAAATAGGGCACATACGGATGTTCACGAATGTTAAATGCTTTAGTCAATTCAAATTTTTAAATCACAACTACAACTAAAAAATTATGAATAGACAGTAGATGGTGATATGAGGTTTGTCTTATTATTCTTTAAATTTTGTAAGAAATATTTCTAATCTCTTCAAGTTTTAATAACTGTGAATTGTACAGAGTTCACTAAAAAAGCATCAAAAGTACCCTGGCCAGTGTGGCTCTGTGGTAGAGTGTCAGCCCAGGACCAAAATGTCGAGGGTTCAATTCCCAGTCAAGGGCATGTACCTGGTTGGGGTACATGTGGGAGCCAAGCAATCAATGTGTCTCTCACACATCAATGTTTCTCTCTCCCATCCCCCCTTCCTCCCTTCTACTATCTCTAAAAATCAATAGAAAAAATACCCTCAGGTGAGGATTAACAACAACAAAAAAGCCTCAAAAGTAATTCGTGTTTTAGATTGAATTGCAAAATTGGACACAAAATGATTAGTGATATGTAAAGTAGTATTAAAACAGCTAGCTAACATCATATGTTTCAAATCCTACTAGAGGAGCAAATCAGTCATCAAATTAATGTATATCTCAAATTAGTAATAAAAATACATATATTATAATTAGCTTTTTCTGATTAGTGATTGATAAAAATTTGATTCATTTAACTATTTTGTCTCACCAAGTAAAAAAAATCACCTGATTTCATCATTCAAATAAAAACACTCTTATTTAATATATATTCTAAAACATCTACAATTACAGTCACATATAAAGGAAACAAATCCTGCTATCCATAAGTAACCTGATAAATTTTAGCACATACCTTTTCAATATTTGTTATACATATGAATATATATATACGAACTCAAATATAATTAATTTTTTTTTAATCCTCACCCTAGGATATTTTTTCCATTGATTTTTAGAGAAAGTGGAAGGAAGGGGGGAATGGGGCGGGGGGCAGGGAGGGAGAGAGAGACATCAATTGGTTGCCTCCAGCACCAGCTCTGATTGGAGCCTGGGATCGAACCTCCAATCCAGGTATGTGGCCTTGATCAGGAATCAAACCCACGACCCTTTGGTGCACGAACCAATGCTCTAAACGCAGAGCTACACCAGCCAGTGCTAGTTACTATTTTTAAAATAAATTTGGTGTCATGTTGTATATGACTTAGTGTATCCTGAATCTTTTCTTATATCATTAAACATCTAAAAAACATGATTTTTAGTGGCTGTGTACATTTCACATTGGGATATACTATAATTAATTTAATCATCCACATTCCTAAAAACTTAGTATATTTCTAATCTTTTACTATTTCAACAAACACTATGAAAAACAGCCTTATAAGTAAATCCATGTAAGCATCCCTGATTATTACTTTACGACAAATTCCTAGAAATAGAACTACTAAGTCAAAGGATAGGAACATAAATACTACAACATCACTTTCTAAACTGTGGCAATACCATTAACTCAGAACAGATCAGATCCTAGACATCCTGGTAAATGGTCTTCTATTACAATAACATACATTTTCACCCTATCTCCATACTAGCGCACAGGGAATAAAAGCTTCTTTGACCAACAGGAAAATAATTTCTTTCCTATCTCAAGTGAAAAATAAAAAACAGGATGACTGGTATGTGAGCTTATTTTTACAGGTCTTCTGAACATTCATTCATCTGCCTCAAGAAAATGGTTCCACAATACAGTGGTGAAAAGTTCTTTGAATACAAAAGTGAACACAGAAAACTCAAAAAAAATAAAAGCACCGTGAAACTGCTTTTTCATGCTTTCCAGGGAGTAACATTTCTAGAGCAAGTATTCAAAGCCACAAAACAGAAAATATGGTCTAATGGACCTTAGATGTAAATGTTTAAAACAACATTATTTGAAGTAGGGTCAATAGGGAAGACACTATAATAAAGTTTAGCTGCATTTCCGTTTTAAAATTTGGGGAAAACCCATAATACTTACTTTGTAAGTAGTGCAAAACCATCAATACAAGACTATAGCTGCTTAAAGTACCACGACTGGCATCATTTATATCATGGTGACTTGCCCACTTCTTAATCACCAGTACTAATGGACGAACTCGATTTTCAACTGAAAGTAAAATTAAAACTTAAAAATTGTAAGAAGACATTATAGTTTCTTTTGAAAGTTTCCATAATTTCCCAGCTCCATGCTAATAAAAACAGTATCGCCTCCCTGTGCATTAAACAGTATTCACCATAAATGTATCTTACTTCTAAAGCAGTTACCTTTTTAAAAAGTGCTAATTATTAAAATTCATCTTATTGACCTTTAACTTTGGTAGTATATAATTTTAGTGAAGCAATATATTTTACATCTAATATAATAAGACATTATACATAAAAACAATTAAAGAGATGTCAGTATTTACTGCAAGCATCTTTTAAAAGGAAAAAAGAATGACAAATAAATGAAAAGCTGATAATTATTTGGAACTAAACAAAAACTTACGATATGCATAAGTTCGGAGAAGGAATGTGTTTCTTATTCCAACAATATTGTTTACATTCAAGTCGAATTCCACACAACTATTAAAAAAAGAAATAGAAAAACTTTAGCTCGGTACAAATTAAATTACCTCACTAATAAATAAATGTATATCCAGAAGTCCAACAATGTAAAAATAGCATAAGCCCAAAGGCCTAAGACCATAAAGTGAAGCACTAAAGAAATAAGAATGAATATGTACTCAGTATATTATTTGAATATGATTTAGTGTTTTAAAAATATAAAATGAGATTACTGTTGAAAAGATTCATAATACATTGATAAGACTCCAATTATCCTTTAACGGAAGAAATTTAAAGTTTTGCAATCCAATCTTTTTCAGACAAAAAGAAAATGTGACCAAAAACATTTCTAGACAAGTTATCCTACTAAGTTATACACTCTCAACTAATTTGAAATTACAGCATCATTTGAGGCCTGCTCCTCGCTGGCAAGTGGACATCCCCTGAGGGCTCCCGGGCTGCCAGAGGGATATCGGATTGCCAGCTTAGCCCCAATCCACCAGGTGCAGGCCTAAGCCAGCAGGTGGTCATCCCCTGAGGAGTCCCAGACTGCAAGAGGGAACAGGCCAGGCTGAAGGACCCTCCCCCCCGAAACCGAGTGCACAAATTTTTGTGCACTGGGCCTCTAGTTAACAACAGAGCAGATGAAGCAGAGGATTAAATCAAAGATTGGGAAGATAAGGAAACAAACAACACCCAATCAGAATAGCAAAAAGAAAAAAGAACCCAAAGTGAAGATAGCAGGAGCCTCTAGGACAACTTCAAGTGTACCAACATTCATATCATGTGGATGCCAGAAGAAGAGAGCAAGAAATTGAAAACCTATTTGAAAAAATAATGACAGAAAAATTCCCTAACATGAAGAAAAATAGACATACAAGTTCAGGAAGCACAGAGTCCCAAACAAGAAGAACCCAAAGAGGCCCACACCAAAGCACATCATAATTAAAGGGCAAAAGGTTAAAAAATCTTAAAAGAAGCAAGAGAAAAGCAGTTATTTACATACAAGGGCGCTCCCATAACACATAAATCAGTTGATTTCTCAATAGTAACTATGCAGGCCAGAAGGGACTGGCAAGAAATATTCTAAGTGATGAAAAGCAAGGACCTACAACCAACATTACTCTACCCAGCAAAGCTATAATTTAGAATTGAAGGACAGATAAAGAGCTTCTCAGACAAGAAAAAGCTAAAGGATTTCACTACCAAACCAGTATGACATGAAATGTTAAAGGGTCTTCTCTAAGAAGAAGAAAACAAAAAGATAAAAAATATGAACAAAATGGCAATAAATACATCTCTATTAATAAATGAATCTAAAAAACAAAATAAACAAGAACAGAAACAGACTCACAGATAAAAAGAACATTTTGACAATTGCCAGATGGGAGGGGGCTTTGAGGAATGGGTGAAAGGGTGGAGGGATTACTAAGTACAAATTGGTTGTTACAGAATAGCCATGGGGATGTAGAGTACAGCATTGGGAATATAGTCAATAAAATTCTAATAATTATGTGTGGTGTCAGATGGGTGTGACTTGTACTGGGGTGATCACTTAGTAAATTATATAATGTCTAGTCATTGGGCATACACCTGAAACTAATATAATAACATGTCAACAGTAATTGAGAAAAAATTTAAAAACTATTTTTTAAATTTTTTAAAGTTTTAACCCTCTAAAAAAAAGTTTTTCCATGAAAACACTGCCTAAAATAAAAACTTAACAACTTTACTTCCTATAGCTTTTAATCATAAAACTTAAAATCTACCCTCAGATTTTGT